ATCGCACAGGATGCGCTTTGTGAAGGAGAGGATCGCCTGGAGAGCGCCGGCGTTGATCCGAACAAAGGCACACGTGCGTTCGCGGTTGTGGCATTTAACGTCATGGATGTAGACAACTTGGCCTTGCTCATTACCGATGGCCCTCAGTAGGGCTTTGATGTCATTTGCCAAATAAGTACTGGGGAGCTGCCCCACAAACACCCTTACAGCTTCCTCAGCCAAGACTTTTTCAGGAACCGGCTTACGTTGAAGAAAATTACGGAAAAAAAGCGGCTTAGCGCATAAGGGTGGCCTCATAATAGCAGAGTAAACATTACCGGAGGGGAAGATTGGCTGGGAAATACTTGCTGAGTTATCGATCTCCGGTTGAAAAAGACCATCTGTATAGTTTCGAGGGACCACCAAACAAAATCCATCTTCTGAAGAAACTCTAATGTTCGGTTTCGAGCCATCGCACGTTTGGCATGGAGTAAGTCCAAAAGGAGTTGAAGTGTTGTCATCAATAGGGTGATTTTCAATATTGTCTAAGGTTTGTAGACTATTTGCTATACCTTTGCTGATTTGTTCGTTAGTTTCCGCGTCGTAGTTTTCAGCCGCATTGTCAATGAAATAAGTCCTTTCATTATTTTCCATCAGTACGCTCGGAAAAAAGGCCGAATTACAGAAACCGGAATAGAAATCCGATCTCTGGAAGAATCCATTTTCCTCACGCTGCATTCTTTTAGATAAGTTGGGTTTGGATTTGTTTAATAAGTGAACAAAAATTAATGATAATAAATACAAAGAACAAGTCCAGCCGATAGAGGGTAAATGTAAGCTGGAGTTGTGTGTATCTGCGTTTTACAAAGAAGAAAAGAAGTGGTTCTGTGTGCGCAGAGGAAATATTAAAAATATATTCTAGGTAATAGACGCTAAATACCTTAAGGAGAGTAGAAACAGAGAAGGAGCGTTTCTTTGTGAGGCTTGAAAAGTGAAAGAAATATCGAATAACTTTGAGATGTTCTTCTATTTTCTGAGGAAAAGGGGCCCCTGTTAGGATTCAGAGGGTGTTTCTGTGGGACACGAATTGGAGTTCTATTAAAGAATGATAAAAAAAATAATAAAAAACCGATGATAAATGGAATGAAATAAAAAATGCTAAAATTCTTCAACAACGTCGAAGAAAGTAATGATAAAAAAAAGGGTTTATTCCAGAAAAAAAGGTTGTGAAAAGATAGTATATGTATAATAAAGCTTCCTTTCACGGGTTAAAGAAAAAACGTATTACAGTGAATTTTCCAAGTGTAGTAAAGCTGTATCAATAAGCTAATGTTTTGATGATTTTAGTAAATTGGAAATTTTAACTATAGAAACAGTCTATGAAAGTTCTTGGGTCAAAAAATAAGGTTTGGTCACGTATAGATTTCAGACGTCAATTCCTTTCGTAACCGTAGTAATGAAAAGCTTATGTGTATAATATACAGATGTTGGGAAAAATGAGTAGATGGTCCAGAAAGAAATTTGAATCCGAAAAATGTATAGAGACCCCTTTCTAGTAGTTATAACTTGGAATAAATATTACTTACTCTATAACGCCTTCGAATAAATATAAAAAATATATTTACACAAAAACAGAATAAATATTTGCTTATTCTTTCAAAAAAGAAATATTAAGCAAAAAATAGAAAGTTAAATAAAGATTCTCGAAGGATTTTCCTCTTGAAAAATGAATCCAATGAAAATTTTATTTCACTATGTTTATAAAGAGTGAAATAAATTTGAAACTTTATATTTTTTGTGATATTTAGGTTCTTTAATGCAATATCTTAATTCGTGAGAAATAAAAGAAAGCAATCTTTGTCATGAAAAAAAAAGACACAAAAAAAAGAAGTGTGAGTAAATGAAAAGGTCATAAGGATAATTAGACGATGAAAATCTCTAAGCACATCAAAGGTGTTTTACATATTTTTTTAATCAGAATATATTTTCATTGTGCCATGTTTTATATATTTTATAGGTATATAAAAATAGCTGAACCGGCCTAACACATGATTTGGAAACATCTTTTTTCATTTGCTTCTTTAAAGCATAAGTATCTAATTTACATAATTGGAATCTATATTGGATCCATCCTTTCCCTATTGCGGTTTCGCTTCTTTTAATTATTATTATTCCGAAGGAGAGAAAAGAAATAGAGAAGAAGATAAACTTCTCCTCTTTTCGCGTGCGTAGGGTGATGCGTCATGCACGAATACCAAAATGTTTAGGCTTATTCCACTGCACCTCATGCCGCTAACACGAGCTAAGCTGCAGAGGACTCCGTCAACCCCGACGAGACTTGATCCTCGTCTGTTTTGGACGAGTACCTTTTTAGCAGAAGCTCGATCTCGCTGCGGGTTTCCTTTAGCCCCATGCGGATGGACTGGCAATCTGAGGAGACCCCCATGGTGCTAGGCCGAAGAAGCTCCGAGAGGGTCTTCAGCGACGCGGTCACCTCGGGCTCCGCGAGGTTGCCGCCGCCCTCCGCCCCCCCAGAAGCCCCCCCGAGGGCGAGGCCCAGAACCCCCTTCCCGCTCATTTTATTCGGCGAGGAGAGCCCGGTGGTGCGTCCGGTGGCGCTTGACC